CCACCCCCCAACCTCTGCCATACATTATGAACGCAGCCTAATCAATAGTGATTGGTTGCTTGTCATTTTATTTTGACCAATGTAATCAAAAAAGTCTGGATGTTCCCAACCCCTTTGGGGAAAGGAGGAAGGAAAAAAATAACAGTGTATCTACACTCCTCTTTAAACATACCACTAGCTGCCTCGTTAGAATCTCCAAGGTCTGTAACACATGCCGATACCAGAACTATACCATGAACTTTGTGTTTTTCTGCAAACCTAAATTAAAATAATTTGTAATTGTTGGGCTATTAATGGTTTTCAGTTTTTGTGGCTAGGTTAAAGAATATTTTGTTAGCTCCTAGTAGATATTTGTTTGAGTTTTATTCATGAATTTCCTGGCAGATATTACAAATTAGATTAGAAGCAAAAACCTTCAGCAGGAGATAAAAATAGAACTTATATATGTATATGTACAGTCATATAAATATTAGAGGCTTAGTGAGGTCTCAGTCACAGTGGGAGCAATTATTAACTTGCCAATACACACTTCAGTCCTTAGAGTTTCCTGACAACAGGTTTAGTAAGATTTTAGAGGGTGTTTGGTAAGTTGTCCCTCTTGTTACACCCCTGATGTACAATGCAGGGTTCAAAATCATTTTTACCAAAAAGCTAAAATTTGCAGGCTATTTGGGGTGTGGCTCATTTGTTTGACCGGCTATCTTTAAAAAAAACTGCTTTTAAACCACTGGCCATATGACTGAATGGTCTACTTGTAATACTGTTGTTGAAAAAAAGAGTAATGAGGGATTCCTGTTTTTGGTTAGAAAATTGCTAGCAAAGGTGCTGAAATTGATGGCTAAAGCCAGAGCAGCCGGCTGCTATATTGAGCCCTGCAATGTATATTTTTATTCTGCATTTATTACCAGATTATTGTTTTAGCTGTTGATGACCAAAATTAAATGAAGGTTTATGCAAGTGTGCCTATTTTAGAGATTATAAATGGTTTTACCTCATGGCTGCTTCAGCACCTGAGCTATGTCCAACAATGATAGTATCCTCACCACAGCACAATTCTTGTTCCATAAACGGCAGCCACACACTTTCTCTGGCCACAACTTTAAAAGAATGAAATTGATAATACATTTAAGGCACCGTGAAGATCACCTTTTTTCAATGAGTATAATACCTATTACAGAAAAAAATTGTAATACCCAAAGGTGATGGTGATAGGGTAGGGATGTGCCCTCTGAACCCTGACCCTGTTCCAGAGTAAAAATCGCTGAAATTCATACCCTGTTCCAGAGCAAGATTGCTGAAAACCCTGAGAGGAGAGAGCGTGATTTTATATACCCTGTTCCAGAGCGAGCGCAATTTTATATACCCTGTTCCAGAGTAGAATCGCTGAAAACCATACCCTGTTTGGCAGCACGTACCCATATAGCGAATATAGGGGAGTACCCCCCCCCCCTGGGGGTGATAGCTAGAGGCAACAGGTCATTCCAAAAGGTCCCTTCAAATAACTGTCAGAATGACTAATCTTTTTAGTACTCTTTTAGACACAATTTGTGTAGTTCCAGAAATTATATCTATCCCCCCCMCACACACACACACACACCCACTGAGGAATTTGGAATTTCCGAGGGGCTATATAAGGGGGGTCAAAGAAAGAACAAAATAACGGAATTTGTATGGAAGATAATTGGTATTTCTGGGGTTAGTGGGGGTCTGAAAAAAATCCTTCATGAGGGGGGTGGGTGGGGGAAGAGGGAGTATGGATAATTTCTGGAACTACACATGATGTCGTAGTGGGGTGGTGATTGTAGAAAGGGTTACAATTTTCAAAATCAACTGATAGTGGAGGGTGCATTTTTTGCAATTCCAAAACACTGGCTCTGAAGTGAGCTTACTAAATAAGTAAAAGAGGGGTACATTTTTAATTAAGATTACATATTTAGGGGGTACAAATTGTACAGTTTCTTTTTACCTGAAAACCACTGTCCCCCGCCACTAAGTCCCTTAGTGTTTGGGCTGCATTGGATGAAGCCACTTTAAACACCCTTTATTATTCATCTTTAAATGTATGGTCATAATTCCTTACATTCTTGGAATGACCAGTGAGTGTCCCCCATTTCCTTTGGCTTCAAAGTCTTTTTAAGAAATAGGTGTATAAATACATCATTTTTTACTTACTTGGATCAGGCATGTTTTTAAGCAAGCACTTGACATTTTTCTGTAAATTATACAAAATAATAATTAAAAATCTTTCACATGAAGAGTATTTTATAATTAGTATGTCAAAACGTAGAAGAACTAAATGGAAATTAGCCAATTTGTTACGATCCCTTTTTCAACAAGCAATTTATTTAAATTAAGCTTTATTAATATAATATAATATTTATTAAGACTACAGGGCACCATTCAATTTACTAGAAGTATATTTTTTTAATTATTTTTCGTTATTATATGTGTATATCTCCACTTCCAAATAGTGGAAAAATTACACTTGAGGTGCATTTTAAGGTGGGGATGATGAAGATGGGTGAGCGAATTGACCGATACAGTCATCATAGTTAACTATGATATGGCATGCATTTTAGGTTACAAATTTGAGGTATCGCGTTGATATTTTTTTCAAAACTGGGAGGGTTCACGTTCTAAAAAACGTCTAGCTCCAATGTCTATCAAAGTCATTCAAGGGTTTATAAATGGAAACTCTCCTCTGTTGATATACATCCCGGGTATACATAGATATATGTTGTACCTCTGTTAGTTTCTCTCGAAGCCAGCCATACCAGTTGCTTTCTTGGACATCACCACAACCATTACCTGGAATGATTACCACCTTCATGTCTCTTCCGGCTGTCTGCTTATACTTCATGTAAAAATATTCGTAGTAACTAACCGCGAGAATTAGTAACATGAATCATTATCTCAAGTATTACATGAAGTATTGACCTGCTGTCTCTTTCCAGTTGTTCAGTTCAAAAAGTGCACAGGGAGCCCAATTAACATACTAATCAAAACAATTTCAATGTTTGGCATGAGAGCTGAGAATAATATACTCCCATTTTGACTTCGCCTATGCCCAGTCTTAGCCACGATTATGCACAAATGTGTTCTTTTCTTTTATCAAGGTTTATTGTATAGTAAGGAATGTACGTACTACGGAACAATACATGTTTATGAAAATGCCACGGGTTTTGTGTGAATGGTTGAATATTTTAACGCACTACCGAGACGTAAGAGGCTGAGCAAAGTGAACTCGAAACTGGAGCTTTGCTTYCATCATCTTTAAAAAATTTACAATCAAATTGAATTTAGGGAAGTTCTTTGCAGCGGATTTTTTATATTTTTTGCAGCGAATTTTTTATTACTTTTGCAGCGAACTTTTTTTTATACTTTTGCAGCGAACTTTTTTTTATACTTTTGCAGTGAACTTTTTCTTATACTTTTGCAGCGACCTTTTTTTATTTTTGCAGCGAACTCTGGGCAGCTGTCCATTTGTTCAGGGAGGTAAATAAATTATCGAAAATGAAGCGTTCTGATTGGCTAAGAACCGACCTCTTCTCCCTCACACCTCCCTGATTTGCTTCCCTGGCTGTGAGAATATTGGTAATGGCGGTTGCAATAAACACTCTGTTCTTACTGTTTATTGCCAGTATCTGTGTCCTTCCTACGACTTCTGTCATTGGTTCATAAAAATATATAAAAAGTTCACTGTCACACTCCTTTTATGAGCAGTCTCCTTTTATGTCCTTCTCTCGTTCGTGGATGGCGCTCAGTGTTTGCAGTAGGGCCGGGAGACGGTTAACAGAATATTTTTCAACAAGTATAAATCAGCGAGAGCCATTCACTCAAGACGCGGATTAGAATGCAGGAAACCATTTGAGTGTCGAGGACTGTTTGGTTTCCATTGGGATCCATTGGCCACTCAGACTAGGCATATCTAAAGTACCATTAATTAATGCTAAATGCGTGGGCGGATCCAGGAGCTTTTTTGACGGGGGTGGGGTGCAAAAAGCTACATTCATTATGTCATGTCATTTTGCCAAACTAATATATACGATAACACTATATAGACTTTTCAATTCGTGTTACTATTGGTACACATTTGACTTTCGATTTATAGACATGTATATGTCATAGACTATCAGTCATGACTTTTAGTTTAACGGGATATTATCTTCGTAATATATATATCGTAAGGTTGAGAAAGGGGGAGTCAATAAGAATCCAGGATCGAGCCCTCCCCTGGATCCGCCGTTGAATGCATCAATGTTTAACATACGTTTTATGCTGAAAGATGGTAAGAAGTGATTTTGGTTCTCTTGGATACTTAGGGCCGTAAGACTGTCAATGACATTCAACACTAGTCATAGAGCTTTGAACACAGKGGCGGRTCCAGGACTTTTAGRGGGGGGGGGGGGGGTTCATTTTTGCAAATCTCGGCACAACAATAACGTTCTCTTGCATCATCATTTTTCCCATGAGGCACATCACTGGCCTAGGGGCGCTCCTGATAAGGATAAACTATCCACCAGTCCCATTTCATATTAAATCTCATGAGTTAGTACCATACTTTTATTTATTTATTTAAAAAATATATAAAAAATCCAAGGTACCAGCCGGTAAGGGGTTCATTGGGTGCAAATCCGCCACAGGAACAACCTGATCCTTGACTTGACGACTCTAGACTTCCAAGTCCCCCTCCATGACACTTCATATTTACAAATAAAGGGCTATTCTGAAGTGCAAATATATGAGCTTATATTAAACGGCTGTTCGTGCACCGTCAATTTAATAAACAATATATTACTTTGTATTATATTTTTCTTGTGATATGATCAAAAAATCTTTACAGGGCTAGCGTAGATGGTGAAATTTTGTGACGGTACTAGTTATGAGCATACTGGCAGATGGATGACGGCTTAACCTTCGTTGGTAAACAGTCCCTTCAATCTTGTTCATAAGGAGACGGGCATTCCAGCAAATAATCCACGATAACGTAAACGCCAATCAAGCTAGCGCTTAGTTGGAAACGAAGCGTCCGACTAGGATTTTATTTAGAGATAATGAATTTTGTTTTCGAAGGTTCAATGACATGTTAGCTTTTTTTTAGCATGCCTTTAAAAAATATAATTCATATTAGAATTAAACGGTCGGGTTTTTTCTTTTTCACGAAGTTTTGCATGTTTCGTTTGTTGCATTAAGGAAATCAAAAAGTAAAGGTAACCAAAAACTCCAGACTTGCGACAAATCGTTCAGATTTAAATGTATTTTTAGAATTTCTCAAGGACCAACGGAAATTTAAAAAAAAGTTTTCAATTGTATTGAGTTATTGAATTGCAAATTAATATAAAAAAAGAGAGCGACGTGAAAAACTCTTTGTTTAGCGCTAAAGGCCATTTGACTGAATCCACGCGCATAAAATAAAAATCATCAGAACATTTCTTTGTACTTGAGCAATACATTTGGCGCGCGTATATGGTGATCATTTTAGCCCATTTTAGTTTGCTCGTCCTGACACAATAACAAAAAGCAAGATTATCTTTATCATATCCGAAAAGACATTATAATCGCATCTGCTTACGGTCTGCCCTTGTTCCTGTCAAGGTCTTTAGAACTGTCTACCCGAACCGAGACATATTTTCCMAACGAAATCTTAGCGGCTCTTCAATAACCTACGTCACACTGAAGAAGAAATCGTTTTATCTCTGTCCTAACTTGTTTGAGTTTGAATTCCGTGTAGTGTTATTCATCACTGATTCGGCCTCATGATGGCTGGAACAAATCGGCCTATAATGGTAGAAGAAAATCATGTTTTCCCGAACGAACTGATTGCGTTGCTCCAAGACTTCATTCTAGCTGCGGTTAAAGAAGACCCAGAAGATATCATCAGCTATGCTGCCAGTTATTTTAAATCACTCCATGAAAAGAAAAGGAAGAGCAACTCCACAAACGCAGAAATAAATGAAAGTTCAACTATTCCAGAGTCGTCTACCTCAAACGGTGCACCAAGCGAAGGCGCCATTTCCAGAAATTGCATCTCTAGAAAGTGTTCATTCAGTAACCGTCTTCTGAAAAGACGAAACTCGATAGCTGCAGAACCATATGAGCCATGTGGGAGCGCTCGGTGGGAACACTCTGAAACCGTCTACCCAAAATCTTCCGAAGCTCGTCAAAGAGTARAAGAGATAGTCAAAGAAATCTTTATTTTCAAGTCCTGTAGTTCGGAACAGTTGAGGAAAATTATTGATGCGATGTATGAACGAGAAGTATTCACTGATGAAGTGGTGATTAGACAAGGCGACCAAGGAGACAATTTCTATGTCATCGATCATGGAAAATTCGTGTTTTTATTTGAGGGGGACGGCGGGAAAGAAAAGATTGGTTCTATTGAAGCCCCTGGGAGCTTTGGAGAACTTGCATTGATGTACAACTGTCCGCGATCAGCAACTGTCAAGGCTGTTGAGAGCGGAATTGTTTGGGTTCTCGATCGGTTCACTTTTAGAAAAATCCTCGTTGATACAACAGAGATGAAGCGCAGGTATTATGAAGAACTCTTGGAGGGTGTTCCTATTTTATCTCTCTTAACCGCGTATGAAAGAATGACTTTGGCAGATGCTTTCGAAACAAGAGTATTTGAAGATAACAAGTGCATTATCAAACAAGGATCTAAAGCCGAGTGTATGTATTTTATAGAAGAAGGAGTTGTGGAGATAGTTCTCGAGACTGACGACAAGCCGAATCAAGTCATTTCTAATGCGACAAGAGGTGATTACTTCGGAGAGCTTGCTCTTGTCAATAAGATAAAGCGCAGTGCGTCTGTGTACAGTCGTGGACGGGTGGTCTGCGCAGAACTTGATGTAGATGCGTTTGAACGACTACTTGGACCCTGTAAGGATTTGATGAAAAGAAACGTCGAAAAATATGAAAATCAAAGGAAAATGCTTGGGATAAAAGAGCTGCCTCAGCGATAACCTTCAAAACCTTCAGATGTTATCGAACACTAAGATTCAATCCCTGGGCTGGTCAAATTCAGGGCAACTCACAGATTGAACCCCGAATCAACCTCTGGGCTGATCTAAATCAGGGTACGGCTACTCATAGATTGAACCTTGAATCAACCTCTGGGCTGATCTAAGTCAGGGCGCGGCTAACTCACAGATCGAACAATAAAACAACCTCTGGGTTCCAGATTGAACCCTGAAACAATTACTTTTAGGCTGATCTAAGTCAGAGCACAGCTATAACTCACAGATTGAACCCTTAAACAACCTCTGGACTGGTGTATTAAATTAAGTAAGGGCACGTGACGGCAACTAACTCGCAGGGTAAATTGAAATTTAGCGTAAAATTGATAAAGACTCCGGCTGAGTACTGAAGAAAAGTAATCCTTTTATGCACTTTGGGTCTGTCGGTCTGACAAATTGACTAGCTAGTTTAGTTTTATTAGGCCCTATTAGAAACTCACTTTTTATCAGGCTCGGCCTGTTTTTATCTTTGATCAACGATTGTCTCGTATAATACTGAATAAGCTTGATGTACGTTGTGTTGTAAACTGTAGCGCATTACTGCATGGATTAGAATTGAATTGAAGATATTTATCAAAGATAAAAAAGCCCATTAAGTAATTGCTTTCCTCTTTCTTCTTTGTAATCCATGAACAGTGCACAAATATGAATAGTTTATAATACAACTGATAGAACTCACAGTCGCTTAGCCGTTTGTCATAATGCAAGCAAATTATAGAGGAAGGAATCGAGACAAAGTATTGAGTGGTCATGCAGTATTTCAGTTATAAATAGAATATAGCCAGTGCTAATGCATAAAGTGTGAATCACAAATTGAAGATTAATTGATCATAGTTTGATATAATTGGCGTATATATTCGTAAAAAGAGACCAATACTGTAATAGGAAAATTTTTGCACCTTAATGCCCTGTAAAATATAACACCTATCACGCTTACTCTTTTTTTAGTTACTAAGCGACAGAACGAGTTTGTGCAGGTGTACTGCCGGGGGGCATTGTCAGACTAATGAAATGACAGATCCATTTAATTTATTTTAAGATTTATCAATTCTACCAAAAAATATTTACTTTATACACTCCATTAAACTCAATTAATAAAGTTTGTCGCTCTATCGGTAATGGCTTCATTTACAAAACAGTTTTCTTTTTATTCAGTACTGATTATAATTAACGCACAGAATTAAAATGTTTTTCCGTTTACATCTGTCGATAATGGACTCGAAAGCTTGGTAAATATATGTTTTTAAACTGAATCAATGTATTCAGCAATTACAATTGCAAAAAATAAAAAGATATTAGAATGTAGCTTTTCAAATGATTAAATGCCAAAATTTGTCTCGTTTTTGCTGGGCTCTTATGGACGGAAAAGAGTAATTAGCTCCGACGACAGCTGAAGGGGTGGAAAAACTTATTCGAGATTAGATATCAAAGATATGACTACTGATGAACAATAACGAGCCTTTATTTTCACTGCCTTAAGTTATTCTTAAAGCTTCGAATTTTCAGACTATTCCATAAATATATGCTCCTTTGTATATAAGAGTTTATTTTTATTTTTCGAAAACTATTTCAGACATCGATTTGGGAGATTCGGGGGATCAATACAATACACTTCCTACTACGATAATGGACTCTGAGAAAATACGATCTGATTCAATTTATTATGTTTTGTTCGTTAATCATTCCTGATTACTGATTGGCTATAAAAAAAATTAAAAGCTTGAATTGGGGGCTTAAATTTAAGCTTTCGGCGCAAGATCGAATTGAAATTAAGAGTGACGCAGCCAAAGTACACTCACCTCTTAGGGGCGGCACAGCTGCAGCGATCTCAAGCCCTTTTGTCTCAGTCTAGCCTGCCTGAGATCCGAACACAGACAGTGTTGGTTAGTCGTCGAAGCTAACCAACAGTTTGTGTTCGGATGCACGCAGGCTACTTGTCTCAGGATTAAAAAAAGATGGGGGAGGGGGTGCGAAGCAAAAACAAAATTGGAAATTGGGAAACGCTGAAGTTATGTACTGGGCCCAGATGTACGAACGGTTGATAGCGCTATCTGACGGATAAATCTTATCCAGCAGTGGAAAAAATTATTGGATTATGATACACTCAACAAAATTACTCGATTCGGATTGGCCAAGAGGAGTACAATTAAATCTAAAATTGTACTCTGCAGAGTCCCAATTAAGTTGCTCAGTTTTGTCGAGTGTATTATAAACAAAATATCGCACAATCTTCTCGTACAATTTTGAATTTATAGATACTCGTGGTGTTTTGAAAGTTCTCAAATTGAACTCGTCTAAAAGGCTCGTCCAATYTTGAAAACTTTCAAGATCACAGCTCGTACCTATGAATTCCGAATTGTACTCGAGATCGTGCGATTTCCTACACTAACAGCATAACTTTATCCATTGAATAAGGATTTATCCGTTGTATAGCGTTATAATCACCGTCAACCGTGCCCTGAACTGCAATCTCTTGTGTGCTCAGACTTCAAAACATGAAGTTCTCACAAAGTCACGGTTTCAAAATAAAACATACCGAGAGGCTTCTTGGTTTCCTTAATACCAAATAATTAAGGCCGGGACTGCACTTTAAATTATTTATTTGTCAATAAATTGTGAAGCGATTGAATAAATTGGGAACTAGTCTGCTCCGTGTCTCCAGGCAACAGATGGATTTTTATGTTGTCTGCAAAACCACTATGCTTTAGAGTGTTCGAGCCGGTCAGTCATCCAAAAGCTCTTCTCTGCGATTCCCTTTTAGCTTCATCAAAAGGTAGGTTGACAAATAATCTACCTTTAATATGCATTTAGGTAAATTATTCCTAAAATAGAAAATGCAGAATTTTGAGGTTGGTTTTTGGATAAGAAAAGAAGTGGGTGCAAAGGAAATTTCGCTCATGCTAATCGTTGTGAAAGTTCAACCTTTTTTGAGTGGAAATCTTAAATTGGAAGCGAAAGTGGTCTGCGAAAATAATAAGCAAGCTGTTTAGTTTATTTATTAGCCAATTTTACGAAAGTTTTTGCATGGATTCCAGATTTATTCCTGTCATACTTAGCGACTAGCAAGCTTTAATGTTTGATGAGTTAAATGTTTGCAAACTTGCTCGGGTATGATAATGGGAGTTAATGACAATGTATTGTCCATCAGATCCTAAGAACAAAACCTATATGATATTGGACTTTAATCTCATAAAACCATTACTTATAGACCTAGGACTAAAGAGAACTTTTTAACTAAGTCATGGATGAATGTAAATCAGTTTGGGGCGCCCGAAGAAGAAAAAATAACCAAAACAAAAAACAAAACAAAACAAAACAAACAAACAAACAAACAAACAAACACAACAAAATCGTGCAGTAATTTTAGAATAATGCACGGCTTCGTAAAATATTGCTATTTCCATCTAAGTCTTTATTTCCTTAAAAAAGATTAAAAAGGTATCCGGCCGGTTTCAGACGAGTTTTTGCAGTTTAACGTTGAGTTCTAGCAAATATTATCCCATAAATTTATATTTATATGTACAGACAGAAGTGCCGGAGTAAATGCCATGGAACATCTGTCTTTTTGCCAATTCACACACTCGAATAAGTACTTAGTCTGTGTAAAATCGGCACATGGCTTGCTAAAGATGCTCACTTCATTATCACCCAGACAACAAAAGCGTAATAATATTCTTTTTGGTTCATATTATAACAGCTCAGAGAAAAGACCGTACAGAATAAAATGGCAGACCTAACAGTCGGGCACGGGCCTGCAGTTTTTTCAGGACCTTCTGGAATAAAGCTCTTCCACTACTATAAAAAGAGAGATCCATCATTTGTCGGCCATACACGTTTCTCACAAGAAAGAACCACCAATGCCTTGTATCTTTTGCGTGGTGCACCAACCACCCCTCACCACCCCTCTAAGGAGCAATGGCTGGGATCGATCGGCTGGAATGTGTGGTCATACAATGACTGGAGACTGCTCAAGAGTAACAACCAGATCAAAATGGGCCCGTTTCGAAATGACGTAGAGATACGAACATTAAACTATTATGGCGTTCATTAATCATTTAAATTAATTTTTTTCTATTAGAAAAGTTTGATAACTTGGCGTTCATTACTGACTCACGGCACAACACATACTCAATCTCGTACGTGCTCGAGCATGCGCAGTTAAAAATAAGGGCTCTGGGTATGAGAATGAATACAGCACCATTAGCACCAATTGCCTTACTATTCTCATGAGGAAATAGAAATTTAAATAACAAAGAACATTCGCAAACCGACTAGAGTCAACAGTGACGCCATCAGGCAAACGTCCTTTTGGTCGATGTTTTCGGGGACAAACATTAGAAAAGTTACAAAACTAAGACAAACCTTATGCGTTAATACTGAGACTTAGATAGAAGTATCTCTTAATCTTCAAGAAATGACTTTATATCCTCTGCACTTTCGTTGCTGACTTTGGAATGGAGAGGCATGTGAGCCCGCGATTTTAGCCACAACCGCTGCGGACTAGTCAGTCCAGCCCAGCGAGGATAGAGGTAACACCGAAACAACGTGTGTTCATTCCGGTGTCATATCTTTACTTTCATTACTGTGTGCATTTTACTCGTTACTGGTATATATTTTGGCTCGTGTCTTTCACTCCCATAGCTAGGGTACTGATGTATCACTGTAAGACATGCCCAATGTAAATATGTAAGACGTTTTAAGTTTTTCATTTGAAATAAATATACATTCCACAATTCTATCATCATTGTATCTAATCCAGTTCTTTTCTTTATCTGAGGCCCCAGAGGCGAGGGCCTAGTGCGCAACACGTCATCTACACCAACCTTGGCGCGTACCGGGCCTTAATTGATAGTGACAAAAATGCCATGAGAAATTGGGCTACTTTCTATCCATTTGAACTCTATATGTCTGTTTCTCGCTGCGCTTTTAGCATGCTTTTGAGTTTCCATATTTTAATTGCTTCCTATTTTCTTATCAAATAAAGTGTTTGTTTGCCGGTGTTTGTGTTTGTCTGTCTGTCCTTGAGTGCCCACAGTCTTTCAGTCCAGCGGGTTCAGTACTTCTCTTCGATAGGTACTTCATGTATGGGGACACCAAATGTCCTGGAGTAGTACCTATACCATGTATGTGTAGTGCACGTATAATACCCCTAATGTCTGTGGTACCAGCAGCACCTGTAGTAGGTGTAGTACCTCTAGTAGGCGTAGTACCTGTAGTACCTATAGTAGGTGTAGTATCTGTAGTATCTGTAGTACCTGTAGTA